ATTGAGAGTAACAGACACACAGACAGTACACTCGCTGCGCATGCGCGCCGAGGGTAAAATTACGTCCCTCCCTCCTCTTCCTCCAGTTCTACGTGACTGCAGCAGTGAGGCTGAGTCAACTGGTGACCCAGTGCCAGCTGCCTGAGGCCGACTCTATCTTCCTCCTCCACCACCTCTCCCTCACTCTCCACTCCGCCTCTTCTGGTGAGAGACACATGTATCCCAGTGGGCGTGGCTTATCTGTGACCTCTCACCCCAGACCACCCTGAGCAAGTCAACTACGTGATCACAATCATCGGCTGTATAATTGCTGAGCATGGCCACGCCCTCTCACTAAGTGATCGTCTCCCAGGGTTACCTGAACCAAGTTCTCCGACCTTCTCGACCTCTTTCCTCTCTTTCTCCTCCACACAGCAATGGCTCTCCTTTGTTAATGATGACGTACGTCTCCCTCTTCCCTCCCCACCTCAATACTGTATGCCGTTTCTTATACACATAATCCAGGAGTGTATTTTGTCACGAATTCTTCAAGTGTGTTGTTGAGGATATTTGAGAGTTGTGTTTCATGTCCACAACTGCATTGACCCAGAAACCTGGTTATGTTCCCCACAGTTGCAGGAGAGGGTGGTGGGCTACCAGGCAGTCCTGTTCTCGTGGCTGGAGACTGTGAGCCAGAGAGAGAGGGAGTGTCAGGAGGAGTGCACCAGAGACAAGAAACTGAGACAGGAACTTGTTTTTCAACATGAACATTCCTACCAGGCAAGACCTCTAACACCTCACTAGGTCATCTTCCCTCATTTTGGGAAACATTATCTCCCCGCGCAGGAAGATATCCTGACTCCATTCTTTGCTCTGAGAGATGCAGAGTTAGAGAGGCAGCGTAGTCATGACAACCAGCAGCACAGTGACCTCTTGGCCTCTCTCCAGAGGTGGAGAGGAGTTCTGCGCTTCTTCACCGGGGAGAGGGGGGCGTGGTCTAGCAGGTGGGTGTGGTCTTCAACCTCAGAAAAATGTACATTGAAGATCTGGTGTTTGATTGTTGTGCAGGTCCCCAGAGCAGTTTCTATGGCGACTGAACAGAAGTGAGAATTTCTCAAGAATGAGGCTAAAGCTGTCACGAGACTACACGGCTGGTCGCCATAGAGATGCCAGTCGTCTGAGGGATCTGGGCTCTGTTCCAGACCTGCAGCTGGTCTCGGAACCGGACACAGCTCTCCTCTCCCTCATCAAGGTCTCCTCAAGGTACTACCCTAACCCAACCCTAAACTGGCACATTTTACCACTGTGTTGTCATGGCAACCGTACCCTCAGGTCACAGACGCTGGACGAGGAAGAGGTTCTGGAGCAGTTAGCGGGGGTTGAGGGGGGGGCCCCTGGAATAATCACCCCCGAAACTGCCCCCCAGCAGGGTGTGGAGGTGGTGGTGAGGAGAGAGATGTGTGATCTGGTACAGTTCATGGACAGGGTCCCCGGACAGCTAGAGATTACCACCCACCACCTCTTCTTCCTTGCCTCCGAGAGACGAGACGGACACAGCTGTTAGTGTCGCCATAGTGACCAGTTGCCGTGGTGACATTTTACTAATCTCGGCAGGGGTGACTGGGAATTTCAAGGTGCGGCTGGACCAGCTGCGGGAGATCCACTCCCGGAGGTTCAACATGCAGCGGACAGCCATTGAGATATTCCTCACTGACCAGACCAACTACTTCATCAACTTCTCCAGCAGTAAGGTCAGCTACTGTCAGTACTGCACTTCAGCTTTCTAGTGATTTGACTCAGGAAGACAGGTATTTAGATATTGGTGCATGAAATGGTGGAAAATGCATGGCAGGTTTATAATGGAACCATCTTAGCTGGCGTTTGTGGCAAGGTTTGGTACAACAGAGTTCTCTCTATTAGTCAGTGGATCCCCCCACTCTCTCGGTTCAACAGGTTGTCACGAAGGTCTACAACAGCATCGCCAGTCTGCGCACCCCGAACCTGACCCGGGTTGGCATCCGCAAACCGGCCAGACTCCTGCAGAGTTCAGGACTCACCCAGCGATGGGTGAAGAGAGAGATATCCAACTTCGATTACCTCATGCACCTTAATAACATCGCCGGTCGGACTTACAACGACCTCAACCAATACCCAGTTGTGAGTCCTTCCATGATATGTCATACCTTTCAGTCATGTGACTATCATGTGACCCAGTTTCCATGGGTACTGGTGGACTTTGAGAGCGAGGAGTTGGATCTTACTGATCCTGGTGTGTTTCGAGATTTCACTAAACCTGTCGGCTCGCAGAACCCCGTCATCGAACAGACTGTGAGGGAGAGGTAAATAGTACCTGATCATGTGATTCTCACGTGACTGCCACGCCCACAAAGGTACAAGGAGTTTGACGACCCGACGATGGGCAAGTTCCACTTTGGTTCCCACTACAGTAACGCAGCTGGAGTTCTGCATTACCTCATTCGTCTGGAGCCCTTCACCTCCCTCCATATTGACCTGCAGAGTGGCAGGTGACTATCACATGACCTCCAGATCCTTCTAGAACAATATAGCAACCTCATTCTCAGAGGGGCAAATTCCCCTGTTCTTCGAGAATAATGTGGTTTCCCTGCATTCCCTGCCCCCCCCAGGTTCGACCACGCTGACAGGCAGTTTTTCTCCATCGCCAGCTCCTGGAGCACAATCTACAACACAGGGACTGACGTGAAGGAGCTCATTCCTGAGTTCTTCTATCTGCCTGACTTTCTCAAGAACATCAACGGTTAGCCTCCAACACAAACACCAAACTCATGATGGTGCTGTGTGTACTGAGCTCATATGCATCTCTCTTAATGTGTATGCTGCACTTTAGTCTGATAAGAGCTTTGTGCTGCTACGTATCACGCCACATGGTCTTTCCAAAAGCTGCTGTCATTTCATGCAATTCCAGCCTCATGTGTACATACGTAGTACCATTTGCTGTATGCAGAGTATGCTGGCTGTGTGTGGCTGCTGATTGTGTCGTGTTTTCTGACATGTCAAGCTTTGCTCAACCTCCGACCTCACAGACTACGACCTCGGGAAGCTGCAGTCGGGAGACAGACTGGGAGATGTCATTCTCCCAAAGTGGGCAGCTACTCCTGAGGACTTCATCGCCACTCACAGAGGAGCTCTGGTCAGTCGGCGAATAGAGGGGGAGCCAATGAAAGGGGGTGGTAGCTAGAGCTGTGGAATTTGAAAAATGCATGCTAATTGTGCACCGGGCCTGGGAGTGTCTCATGTAATGCAATAGACGATGCTTCGCACAATTCCAAAGATTTAGAAATAAGTATGTACAGGCCACACCACACTTAAAGATAATATCCTTCTCTATATAATTATGTAGACCCTAACAATGCCTAAAGAGGGCTTTCGTGTTATCACAATAAATAAAAGTTCAATCTCTCGCTGCTGCCAATTGTATTACTTCACTAACTGACTGTGCTGCCACACCATTAGGAGTGTGACTACGTGTCAAGTCAACTACACCACTGGATCGACCTTGTCTTTGGATACAAACAGACTGGGCCCGAGGCCGAGAAAGCCACTAACGTCTTCAACTACTATTCTTATGAAGGTGAGTCCCCTCTCTAGCTGTAGGTGGGCGGGGTTCACATGGTGGGTGTGGTCTCAGACAACGTGAACCTGGAGAAGATAGAGGATGAGGGAGAGAGACGACAAATTGAGTCAATCATCAACAACTTTGGTCAGACCCCGACACAGCTGTTCACGGAGCCACACCCCCAGAGGATGACATCACTGGAGGCATGGCGGAGCGTTGTCAGGGGATACGGGAAGAAATCCAGTTGCAATCTCCTAGAGCACCTCGACAATGTCAAGACACACTGCGTGGACGTGAGACACCATTACATCATCATGATGTCATGTTTATTTATCACGTGATTATCAGGTGTCTGGTGAGGAAGACCCTGTCGTTTTTGTAGGGACGCCCACCATTCAGACAAGAGCACTTATTGCCAGCGGCAACCCTGAGCAACTGGTAATCTCATACACCATACTATATACTTCATACCCCATACTACCCAATTCTATACCCCATACTCCATACTCTGTATATACCCCATACCCCATACTCCAGGTGACAGTGACAATAAGTGGTCGTCTCAACATCCACGGCTGGCTTCCTTTCTCCAGCACCAAGTCACGACCTTTCACCTTTCAGTTTGACTCCAACGCCCACTTTGACAGGTGAGCATGTACCACAGACATCTTCACACACCAGAGTTGACAGAGTCTAAGACCTATCCTCAGCAACAGGTCCGTATGTGTATGTATGTATGTACATATGTACCAGCTAGCACCATCTGATCCTCCAACACCCACTGACCTCTGATGGATCCTGACAAATTGAGGCTTTCACAACACGAAAACCTTGCCAGCCTCCGATACTGTGTAAACCTCTACATATGTGTGTATATGTACGTATGTACGATGTATGAAATTGTGAAGACAATGGATGATTAGTGTGGCGGTGGAGTAGGCATTGTGTTGTTGTGATTCTGCAGGAGCAGGTGGCAGACTGTGGCTGGTCCGTTCTCCCAGGACCTCCCTGTCTCCCATAACCTCTTCATCCTCTCCCCCAACAACAAACTCCTGGTGACCTGCGGACATTGGGACAACAGTTTCAGAGTATTCTCCATCGAGAGGAGCAAGCTGCTGGCCAGGATCGAACACCATGAGGGTATATTGACTAGGGGGAGCACTTAAATTTCGAAAAAGATTTTGGTGGGAGGCAGGAGTATATCTGAGCTATTTCAATACACACGCAATCATGCCCAGCATTCTAGTAATAGTCAAGGTTTCCTGCTACATGATGTATGGCAGCTAATGTTTAAAAGGAGGTTTGTTAGATGTTAGTTGGGTTCAGGAGAACCTGATCTACATTCCTGGTACTGGAGATAGGGACATGTTTGGAGGCGAACAAGGTCCCAATCACGTCACATTCATGACCGGCATTCTTTAGTCCAGTCATAAACATGAAGACCCCCTGATGTGCATTACATCATCGTAATTAATACATTCCACAGCTGCTTCTCTCTCTCTCCCTCCTCGTGGGCTTCAAGATGGCTTACAGTCACAGAGAGATGTTAGTCTGGTGCACACATGTAGTCACTTACGTAGACACAACTCTCTCTCTGACTCTCTCTCTACTCTCCTTCTCTCTCGCTAACTCTCTTCTCTCTCGTCGCATGTCTCTCCTGTGTGTGACGCTGTTTCAGTGTGCGTCGATTGGTGCTGTGCACTGGCTCTGGACAGGCCCCGGTGGGGACTGGACGAGACCATCTCATTACGGATCACGTGACACACCACCTGTGTCGTGTGAGAGGCGTTTGCTCAACGCTGAGGCTCTCACATCTCTTACCCTACGATATGTAGGGGAGGCTCATGCCATCTTCTCTCATATCTCGCTCTTGCGTCTGATTCCTCAGGAGTGTACGACATCATTAACAGACATTGTAAGTCACGACAGTGAGGCTACGTATGTGTTGTGTGTTGTTCTGTGTCTGACATTGTTTGTTTGTTGTTTGTTGCGTTGTGTACAGGTAAACATGTGTCGACCATCAGCACAGAGCAGACACTTATGACAGTCACGTGGCAGCCAGGTGAGAGCAGAGAGAAGGAGAGGAGAGGAAAAGATGGATTGTTCCTCTGGTGGGCAGGCACGGGACACTGGGCAAACTCATCCACACCGTCCGGAGACATAGCGGCCACTACATGCACACTCTCCTGTGCGAGCTCTGCTCGCAAGACGAGACACAACTGTGTCGTCCGCCACGGCGTCCTCATCTCACCTCGGCAGACTCCACATCGTCGACACCGAGGACAAACTCAAACTCGCCAGGTCAAACGTCAGCCATCACCCCTCGTCCTCGTATCCGCATTATGTCGTCGGTATCAGGTGAGAAATCCAATTCCTAGGAAGGAACGAGCTACGTGCGTAGCATCCGTTCGAATCAGGACCTAGAGTATAGACTGTGCAGCTGCTGCATGCCGCAGCGCCCTACTCTAAAGAGATGGCCCTGTCACGGGTCTGCTATGTCGGCAGAGTCCTACTAAAGAGATGTGTCAGGTCTGCACGGCTGTTTGTAGCTATACACTAAAGCCATCACACACTGCTGGAGAGTGTGGTCACACCTGTGATGGCATGTCACCGTACGGAATCGAAGTGCGCAGTCTGCAGGCGCGTGCGGGCTTCCAGCCGCATTCTCCATCTCTAAGTGGTTGACAGTAAGACGGATAAGATATTGAAATGATTACACGAGGAACAATTATGGCCGTAACTAACTCACCTGGGGACGGGAGCGAACTCTTGGCCACCTAAGAAGCATGCCTGCTCACCCTCAGCCACTCCTCACTTCCATATGTCACTTTCCCTCTCACCTCATCACCCCGTCACACTGCAATCATCTGTATACTTATTACCAGTAATGAGACAGCTTCCTCCCTTCATCAGGTGGCTCCTCATGAGTCGCTGTCCCAGCTACATGGGAGAGATGTCGACATCCTTTACATCAACTAATGATACTGTGCTCGTGTGTGTGTAGTGTGAGTGTGCGTGTGAGTGTGTGTGTGTGTGTGTGTGCAGGATATCCTCAGTGCCAAGCTGAGGCCTCCATGTCCTCCATCTCATACTCTACTACTCCGTCACGTACAGCGCTTATCACAGAGAAAGATCTCAGCGAATGTCTCAATGCCACGTGGTCGTGTCACTGCTTGAGAATTTCATTATCACTCGGTAACGCCATGCCTCACATTACCGGACCTCTTCACACGTGAGTATAGTATATATATACTCTCAATGTGCCTTTCTTTACTTTTTCTCAATTCTATCCCTAATCCCTCTAGACCCATTCGCATCTTTCATTACGTGTTAATGCGTCATGGGGAGGATGGAACGGTATTATTCTTAACCGATGGATTTGTTTATTCAATACAGCACTTACAGACCACTAGTTGCTTATGACGTACCTTCCCCCCCCCCCCCAAGTGTTCTGGTGTGTGCAATTGATCTGCTGGTTTCGTATTGGAAAGCCATAGCGGACAAGGTAATTACGTTCAACCACCGATCTTGTAACTACCAGAAAGAAAAGTTAAAGGGTTTGTTATTTTGAGTGTAGACAGACAACATCATATCTTACGCGTAAGATGAGGTGGGAGACTTGTGGTTCAACCCCTCGCTGAACATGTGAGACCTGTGATGAATACAGTGTGGGCATATTGTAGTAGTGCTAGGAGACAGGTGTTCTCCTGTACCATCCCACTGTGTCTTGGCCGCTGCTCTTTTCACAAACCCGAAAACACAATCTTGTCCCTAATGAGTCCTGTATACAAAATCCGGGGTTTATCGGCATACCTTCGACTTTCTCTTCAGAAAACATGCTCCAGAAATGTGGTTTAACCTGTTGCTGTGTCTGATATGGTGTTCTTCCTTTTCCATTCCTCATGTAAACAGGTTGTACCCTGATTCAGCATACACCTAGTCTGTGAGTTAGAGTCTGTTAGAGTTTAGTCGTCACAATGGCAACAGGGCCGATACCTTGCCCAGTGTGTCATTCATACTCCAATTGTCTAGTACAATGACCCCCTGGAACATAGAACCAATTGTACACCGTAGTAATCTACTTACACCCCAACAATGCCAGTTTTTGGGCATCCTTCCCTGTGTCGGGCCAAAACAATCTGCCATCCCAAAAGTGTTGTGCATTTTTGAAGCAATCATGTTGTTGTGGCTAAAAGTGCATTGTTGACATGTTCGGGAACAACTACGCATACACCCACTCTTTGTGCCATCCTGTTTGCTGCAATGAAGGGTTCTTCACCAAATTCAATAATTACAATGCTGCGTCGTCTAATTGCCGAGAGTGTGCTGTCCGTGAGTCAGGGGGGAATTGGGAATCAGGAGGCAGGCGGCATGCCACTGTTTTACGGTCCTGACCAATCATGTTGGGAAAGGTGTGACTGTGTGAAAACAGTTATGTTTCTGCTTTGTCTTGTCTGTTGTTCCTTGTATTCATTGGCCTGGGGATTGGGGGTCAACTGGTTTTGTCCTCCCAGGAAGAACAGCTGTTATGTACATTCCCGTCAGCTAGTGGAATGCTGACAGCCACCCTCTCACCCCAAGGCACGTACCATACCCACTCCTTGGTCGCGTTGCGCGGCCCTCTCGGCAGCAGTTCTGTTGCGTCAACACTGATACCAACGGCAGCTGTTGGATCGTGCGCCCCCCCCGCTGTGACACTGACACTAGCAAGCTGTGCCCACTGGCAACATTAATCCCACGTGCTCTCACTAGACCGTGCACGATAGAGCGCAGGAGAAAAATCTGCACTGATGCTCCTCGTTCTAGACTATCTGTTTCTTGAGGCTTCCATAAAGAATCATCTACAAAATAACTCCTGTCTCCTGCAGGCTCCGGCAGGTCAAAGTAGTGTCAATCTCCTGGAGTCCATCACGCTGTCATTAGGTGAGCATAGCTGCGGACCACCAGTCAAAGCACGCCAGCCATACTCTTGTGGGCTCTCGAGGAAAGGCAAACTATCATCGTCGCTGTAGCGGACCATTCCGTCTCATAAATCCTGATTATCTATTTACTTATGCTTTGTGCCTCTTTATTAAGTTGAATTTTTATAATGTAGTTCTACCTCAAACGCTTCGTGTAGCAGGGTGCTGAATGTCTGTGTTGATAAGAGGTTAGTAGCACGCTTAGAGCAGCTTTCTCCTGTTTGTGCGTAACAACCCCACGACCGATGGGTGACTAGTGACGGACTTCTGTTTTCCTCTAACCAGTGAACTCCCAACTGACACTTTGATATTGCGCATTTCACCGGCTGGTTACGCCGTGTCTCAACATGCTCTTGAAACACGCTAACTAAAGCAGGCACGTCCTCGGCCCACCTTGCCTAATCACGAGAACCATTGTGCTTGCATTCCTGGCGATCGCCTGTGGCTTTGCGTGTCTCCCTGACCCGCTCGCTGAGCACTCATTGAGCGCTAGCTGACAAGAGTTGATGTGCGAATTACAAGAATGCGTGGCATTGATGGAATTTTGACGTTTGGCAAAGCATCCCCCCAGCATTCCTAAAAGCCTCCCACACCCAGATCCCTGCCTCAGTTCACTCAGTCAGCTGTTTGTGCTGCCAACAGCCACAGTTTAGTCGTCAGTGGCCAACGGTTCTATATGCCTGTACAACGCCCGCCAGCAGGTGTATTACCAACGGCCTCGTGGGACGAATGGCAGAGCCAGAGGATCGAAGATCGCCCCGCAGGTCTCCCACGTAAGGATACAGAAGCCCTCAATGCAAGCATTTTATATACGCTGTCCAAACACTGCTTCACTGGTGTTGGGCTGTCTATTGTACTTATTGGCTCTGTGTCTGATTTCAACTTTCACTGTGTCCGAGATTCTGTAGCAGTTGCTGCAGCACAGTGAGAGCTCGTTGCACGCCTGATCATTACGATGGTGTGCCTCGTGCCTTCAAGAGTTGGCCCTATTGTACACGTGGAAACAGAGCAGTGCTTTTGCAATGAACACAGACAACTGTAATGCAGTAAATTGCCAGCATTAGCTGCCAGGTATGGTCTGTCTTTCCCCTGAAAAGTTCGACTACGAGTTTGCATGACACCCCATGTCTCTTATTGTCTCTTTTTTTTCTTTTTTTTTTTTTTTCTTACTCCGCCCTCTGCCTACCAATTACAGTACTTGCATTCCCGTGCTGAATGCCCCATACTACACACAATCCCTTCTACCCCCGGCTCTTTGCAGCAACCACAAAGTTCCACAAACGACGAATGGAGAGGAGCTTGCAGTTTCACCGCCAGGATCTCCTCCTCATGGTAGACACCACGAGAGCAGTCTGCACAGTGCACCGGGAGATGCTGTGAGAGCTCTCAATGATCGTTGACACGACCTTCGACTGCCAAGAAGAGAGTTCCGGTCGTTGACTGCACACTCTGAACACAAGGAACAACCCAAGTGTTGGACTTCATGAATTCGCACGACCGTGGCAATCCAACGAAAGACCCCCGATAATGTTTTCCACTCTGGAGCCAGTCAAGGAGTTCAATAGCAGGTTCTGGAGGCTTTGGGGAGCGGTACAGTGGAGCACATAGTGCCGTGGTGTCTCAGGGGCACGGAAAGGCCGCTCTGGATTGGAGCAAATGATCTGTGACCCTCTTGAGCCGACAAAGCTGCAGGTTGATTTCTGGAGCAGAGGAAGGAGACCCTTTGTGCAGCATTCGCGAGACGATTGTGGAGGGAAAGGCGCAGGTTTTGGAAGACCACAGGCAGAAGGAGATGAGGCCACCGGCCACGCACACCGAGCGAAATGACCAGGCTCATCAGCTAAGTGACAAGACTGGTCGAAGAACAGCGGCCCACCACGCAGAGTTTGCTGCCATGAAAGATGCCCTGTTGCCACGCGGATGCCTGAGAGCTGCATTGCACTCTCAAGAATCGCACATAGCCGATCCCTGCTCCTGCGCCCAAAGTAAGTTGCGCACCTACATCACTCGCAATAATCCACAATGTGGCAACCTTCCCCCCAGACAATGCCTTGCCACAGACCTTCTGGAACGAGACGCAGCGGGTTGCTACGAGTTTCACGGGATGAACCACCGTACTCGCAGCCACCCTGCAGGTCGCAAGGGCTCGACCCCCCGGCAGCAAACACCAACCAGGAGGCCAGGTTCAACTTGACCTGGTTGGACTGGCGCAAGGGACATCT